AGCATCTCTGGATGGTTGGAATCTCGTCGTTGTGGCTGATGTAAAGACACCGAAGGACTGGCATCTGGATGCACCTGGAGTTCACTTCCTTAGCCTAGACGTGCAAACGAAATTGGGTGAATTTTACCGCCAATCCTGAGATAGCTAACGAATTTGACTATTTCTCTTCAAAAAGGTCAGGTGCGATTCTGTTTAGGGTTCCGAATAACAACGCTATTACCGGAAAACTCGTACACGAGGAAAAATGTCGGCTATTTATACGCAATTCAAATGGGCGCCAAGTGGATCTATGACACAGATGATGACAATAAACCATTTGGTAAGGATTCTTCATGGTGTAAATTCAATGAGACTCTACTGCCTGGTAAAGATTACATTTAAAGGCAAAGGACTTGACCAGTTTGATTTCACGGAGCGTATCAGCTCCTTGTGCTTCAGTAGAAACCATTCTGCAACTGCCACTAATATCTCGTGAGTGTTTGCAGACTTGTTGGGTTGGTGTAGCTCTAAAATTGATTTTTAATCGATTGATTGCGCAGGACCAGACACTTTTCAGAAGCAAACTTTTCAATCCATATCGATTTTTTGGTCATCCTGTAATGTGGCCAAGAGGATTTCCATTGGAGCATCTGAAAGTAGGGTAACACTCAGCTTTTTTTACAATGTTGATTATTTTCTTTTCTAAACAGAATGGCTGGTCCTATTCTTTCTCTTTTATTTGTTTTCATCTTTCCCATGGTTTGTCCGTCTTGACAGTTTGTGAGGTAACGAACCAGGATACTACAACACATTCCTACGGGGCTGCAGAACAAAATGAGAATTGTTCCCCTCCAATAATTCTAGGGCCACTCTAATGGTAAGGGTCGACTGCGTTTATGCCGTTCTATACGTACGCCAGCTGTACAGCAAGGACTTGTGCACAAAGATCCGGATGTGGATGCCATTTATAGGTAAGGAGCATGCATTAGTCATATAATGTATTGGTCTCATTCTGATAACAAGTAGAACGATCTCAGTTGGCTGACCTCTTTCAGAGATTTAGGCTGTTGTATGCTGACAAGAAGACGGGACTAAACGAAAGTTTCAGTAAACTCGCTTCACCCATAGTTCTCAGCTCAGGCTAGTAATCATCTCATGCTTCTGAATATGTCAAAAACAATCTGCTCTAAACCCGCCCTACCGTGAGGTCTCCAGATGTTTTACTGCTCCAACATACAGTATCTATAGATAATAAACTTTTGAGGCACCTGAAAGCACGTGTAGGAGTTCGTACATATTGAACGACGTTGCACGAATGATCGTGTGTAGTAGTGAGCACCTGGAAATTACTGACTGTCCACAAGTCCAAATCTCAATTGGGTTCGCTCTGCGGAACTGGCCCTGAGTTAGAAAAATTTAAAAATAGAAACATATTCTGGCAGCGAAAAAATGGTCTGGAATGGTTCAACAAATGCTGGGTTTTCGATTTCTAAACCTATGATAGACCTCGTTTCCAGGCTAACCTTTCCTTGGCAAGGTTGGGTATTGTCCCTTTAAGAGCCTAAATATCTTCCTTAACATGTTCACAAACTTCCTACTGGATAGTTTGCGCAACCGATCTCACAGTACATATGTCTATATATAAGCACACCTTACATATTGTCTTGTATCTCAAGTATTCGATGATTACTTGATTATCCAAGACCGGTAAGCGACAGACACTACTAGAGAGAAAATTTTGTATAGAGAAGTTTTAGGGACATACTCTCCGTGGAATTCGCAGAATACACTTTTTCACAGAAGTGCCTTCTTCACATTGTTTCTTCCGATATCGGTAGCGTTCCGGTATGTTTTCCCGTTTAATTTTGTTTTTTTTTTCAATCAGTAAACCATTTCTACCTCTCTTTTTTGTCGCTTTTTTATAACTTTTCGGTCAGCGAACCCCTTTTACTCATAAGCATTTCAGAGAGTGTATAAATCTATGAAATATCAATTAGATAGATTACTGTTGTTGACCTTTGAACAGGCATTAGATGCTGTAATATTGCCATCAGTTCCTCTCAGTTTGAGCTATTTCACTTAACGAGCTACTTGTTCAACCGCAACTATGACCAAACACCGAACTTTAGGGTCACAGATATATGGCGATCGTATTTTTCCCAAAAACTACTACACCTGATTGGTGAAAGAATAGCATTCTATCCACCTAACGCAATCCAAAATCGGAACGCTCACGATTATCTGTCGGACTTCAAACAGGAGAAGTTAGTCCTCGGATGAGGTTTTCTCTTCCTACCGCACTATACTCAAAATTGAATGGTGCCCTATTTGTTTAGGCAACTATACGAATCTTCTGGAAGACTAGTCGAGTATTTGGATTCATGGCGCTGTTTCTCATCGAACATTGCCGAGTGTGCTATAAAACTCGCCGAAAGTCTTGCCCATGTCGGGTAAGTAGATTCTTCAATAGAAGTGATAACGCAGATGGTAGTCGACGAGAGAGGTCGAGGTTTATCGCTTTGGTATTCATGTGTAAGTCCAGCTTAAGGCCGAAGCCACTTCTCTCAGAGTAGTGGGTAGTGAGCGTTGGGCTCGATTCTTCCGTAAGGATCTTACAGAGGACTTACAGTTATTTTTGCTTACGGTATGTTATTGTGCTATGATGAAAGGTGAGACGACTAGCCAAGAAGTGAAGATCGGGAGTTGTTTTGTACTGCAAGTGCATCGACTGGTCTGAATTTCGAGGTCTTTCTAGAAATCCATTCTGGGACTTGCAAGATGGGCAAATGGTGAAGCTATGGATAGACGACCTCCGAGCGATAGGGTAGGTAATATACTGCGATTTTAGGTTTACGTGCTTCAGTCGTAATTAGTCATAATACTGAAGAAAATTCAGTAGTGGATGTGTGTCCTCAGCAAATGCTCAGGAAGGCATTCAAATATTAAAAGCCACCAGAGTCGGATCGAGCGGCGCCTGTACAAAAAACGAATTTGTTTTAAGTGAATGAGCTACAACACAAATGATTTCACCGAGCATACGGTGGTGATGTACCCGGATCGAGGGGCTCCTTTACTGGCGTATCCGCCTGCATCGCTACCGTACGCTTGGTTGTCACGTGTAGTGAGTGTCACTCTTTCTTTGACAACAAAAAATTTATTTTCATAAAGGGACCATATTACTTTGACAGGTACGAATTTCCTGCGATAATTCCTGACGCGAACAGAGACGAATGTGACCAAGCTACTTTGGTCAGCAATCGAGTACACTTTGAAGAAATTCTTAGTTCCCCTGCAAATCATGGTGACCCGGTGAGTATCTGTGTCTATTACGTTCGAATGCCTTCTTGTTTGGTATGTTTATTGTTTTTATCGTTATTATTATTACTGCCACTTACTGACAGGAGGGGGTGGCTGCAACGGCCGTATACTCTTCCGCTTCGATTACGAATGCAATTAGAGTATCTCTGTGGAAGCTCGTGGAAAAAGGGCTTCTTCCTTTTCAGTATGGGTGCAGTGCTAAGCGAGGAAGTGGGCTACATCGGGAAGAGGTGCCTGCCAAAATTGCTTTCCTTCAAACGGCTGAATGATCACTGTACTAGATAGATGCTGTTAGCGAATCCAATATGTGCAAGATCCATTTTTGAACTGACTCTGAAAAAGCGTTGAGCTCTCCTTTCTTTGATCTACGGAATCAGAAGCCGTTAATTGATTGATTGATATTATTTTCAGGCGCTTGTTAGAGCAGAACTCAAGCTGAAACATATGGAAGAGCTCTATGATTGGTGTCGTCCAAGCAATGCTACAGGTAACCTGGCTGCGAATTATTTCCGTTTTTATGGTGCATCCTGTGATTCCAGCTGAGTTCTTTCAATCAGTTGGTCCTCTGCGTTTGGATGAATTACATAGTAATAGCAAAAGTCTTTCCAGTGCTCTGAGCAAGGTTTGTTTTGTTTACCAAGTACTTTCTTTTATTACCTTCAGTCGCAGATTTTCTAGCAGGTATGGAAATCGTATTACTCATGAAATTTTCACTTCCTATTTTAGGTTCTAATTCTTCTTGTCGAGAGGGAGCCCATTATCAATTTCAGTGTCTTCCAAAATATTTATCAGCCATACTTCGCCACAATCTTTTTCTGCGGTCGATATGATTTCTGGAATATCAATCGGAAAGGTTGGTAGATGCAGGGCTCCATATGGGTTTGATTTCTTACTCTATCAAATTTCAGGTGATATCAAAGTTCCGTTCAACTATGTGAGTATCACGGCTGAACAGGCTGCGGATGGTTATTTAGTGACACAATGTCTGTTTAGTGTCAGTAGGATGAGGATGCAAAACGTAAAAGGTAATACAATAAAGGAGCTTCAATTTTTGGTAGCCTTCCTACTGGTAAGCCATGAAGACTGAATCTCCGGAGTGATGATAACAGGAAATATTGAGTGGTCGTGGCGATAGCAAGCGGTCAAACTATTGGACATGATTACACTTGTCTCGTTGAAAAACTTGAAATCACTCTTGATTGCATGCTCAAAAACTGATAAGAAAGAATTAGAAGAGAGACCTTTTTTTGAGATAAATTAAGAGGTGTAATGGACGATAACCTGCGATAGACGAGTGTAATTGCAAGTCTTCGGGTTACTGTAACTCAAGTATATTCTTGACTCATTGGATAATATCATACGGTTAAGAGCGAAATTTGTGGGTTTGAAAACAGGTTGTTCATTTAGGGTACTATGTGGTGTCGACAGGAGTCGTACTGAAGTTTTGGAAGTTAGACGAAGACATTGCCTATGGTATCATTGAAGATCGCGAGTCAAGCAATTCGAAATGGTCAGAGCGTGATGGTGAGTTCCCTATGCATTAAAGTCTCAAAGTTTCTAGGCGTTGATCAGTTCCCTCTGAGTGATGCGCCCCGCATTCGACTTCTATTCAGAATCGTGGTGATGCATTGAATGTGTAAGTAACCTATGCGTTGAATTACGGTGGCCAGCTAATGTAAGATTCAATGCTTTATCCTACCAGACATTTCTGGTCAAATTGACGGACCCTAGAGGGATAGAAGGCTTGGTTGACTTGGGCCGATATTGATCTGGGGTTCAAAACGGTGATCATGCATGTGCGAGAGTGCGCCACATGCCACTAAACCATATCACTAAGTATTACGCTTCATAAGTCGTTTTTACCCGTCGCTTGCGTTGATTGTTTGGACGGAAGTTTTGTTTTGTCCTAGATAAGTCAGCTCAGATGGTTGCAGAAATTCGGAGATTGATTGAGAGCTTTATTCTTATGTAGATAGGTAAAATAAACAGAATTGGGCCTGAATGCAAGAAAATGCTAATTCACGATAAGAACCTATTGATTCTCTAAGCAATGACAGCGAGGGGCATGGAGTATTCAGAATATTCACTGTAAATTCGCATCGTCATGAGGTTGTGTTTCAGGACAACACGCAGCGGAAATGGCCTATAAATTGATCTCTCGAAATGCTAACAGTGTAGAGTACAGAATATGGCTTCAGTATCAAAAAGGAGTAAGTTATTAAATCCATTGGTCATAGCAATAAAAGCAGTGGTTGATCCGTTCATTTCTGAAATGGACCGCATACTTGACTGGAATTCGGTACCGCAATCGCGTATGACACAATACAGTTTACGTTCAAATTGGCTTCTCAGAGTTGTAACTAAGGAGGGGTTTTCCCTCGAGACTACTTAATGTACTATGGCGAAACAAAATTTGGGAAAGAGAATCGGAAAAAGAATGATAGGGTGTCTAGCTACATATATACATATTTCAGCAGGACCTCATCTAGAACTTTTTTCACGTATCATAGTAATGGCGTTTCTTTCACTTCTCCCTTAAACTGCTGTAATGTTCTCAGCAAAAACCTCTTGGTTTGATGAAAGTGAGATAACAGTTTGTTACTTTGCAGTTGAAGAAAAACAAAATCCTCGAAGATGCATCGTTGCATCTCCAAACCCATACTGGTCATGCCGAACGAAATCTGTGGGTCTTACTTTGTTTTCAAATATTTCCATTTTTCAGACTATTTTGAAGTCAGTTTATATCGTACGGATTCTAGTTGTCCATGATCACAAATTTTAAATTCCCCAGATCTGTTGGGTATCGTGACTGGTCTGTGTGCTGGCAAAAAGCTAAGTGCTCAGCGAGATCGGGGGGGGGACTACTGGTGGAAACCTCCACGATCCTCTCTCTCTATTTTGCAGCCAAAAAGGCGTGGTGCAAGTGATCATTGGGTACTATGCAGGTTTCAGATCTGTCGAGTGCTCAGTTACCTGACCCTTACTTTTGAGGTATGGCGGTTAACAATGTTGTCCAGCCAGAAAAAGCCGGAAAAACCAGTAGGAATCAGGAAGAAAGGGCATCAGTTAAATGACGCAAAGTATTAGACCAAATCGATTGGAGTGATTGGAGTGGTCCACAAATCATACTCGATTCAGTCTCTATATCCCGACAGCGTCGTTCGAATATTTCTCCGGCTTGATGCGAGTCTTCCGAAGGTCTGGACTCAGAGAAAGCTTTGCGATAGCGAAATTTCTTCAAACCACTAAAACTGGAAAGTAAGTTGATCCTTCAATCCTGAGGGTTAAGTATGTATGAAAAAACTCCGATTCAGCTTATCCAGTACTGTGATGAGCACGGAAATATATTCCAAGGTGGACGATCCATTCAATCGAGAAAGGTACGTACCCGCAACTCATACTAGTTCCATTCTCTTCCTTGTTCATTTGCTGAAATCCAGTGGCAACTTGTTTACCGTCCAAAATTAGTTGATCCCAAAGAAAATCTTCTGGGAGCTGTTCCCTCGCAGGGAAAAAGTTTCTATTCAAGAAATAATCTCGAAGAAAAGTGTGATTTAATTCTATCTTATTTTTTCCTCTTTCTCCATTCATGGATTCACTGAATTTCTAGATTCTGCGATTCAGTCGTGATGTCTTTCAAAAAGGAGCTCACAGATATGGTTAAGACTGCGGAATGATGAATTACAATTTTTCTTTGTAGATTTTTCCTGTTCTCGAGTGTGAATTAATGTTTATACAATTTTCGTTCTTATGAGTATAACACTGTGCAGGGTAGAAGGTTCTTTAGGGGTCCTTTCAAGAGGAAAAGGCATTTGATAATTTTGGGAAAAGTTGCTTTACTATGTACCTAACTGTATGAGATTGTAAGTAGAAGAGAAATGGTGCTACCGTATTCGCTTTTGTTCTATCATTGTAAGAGTTACTCAAACTGATACCAGTAACGTTGGTACTAGTTCTCTCAGCAGATGGTGAAGTGGAGATCGTCTTACTGTCTTCTCCCGTCGAGAGTCATGAACTGCTTCATTTCACTCAGTAATAGTTTAATCAGTAGGTTTAATTGGGCTGGTGGTCGCCCTGAAATCTACTCAAAACGAATTTCTTCTGTAAGTGTTCCAGTTCAATCTGGCCGATTCACATAAGGAATGAGGTTTCATTTTGAGTTTTCTGTTATTTACATAAAATGTACAGTAACTACATAAATACATATACGACGTTTATGGTGGCAGTTGCTCAGAATTTGTTCTGTCTTTCTTCAAATAAGCAGCAGCATCTCCTGGGATAACGTCTTTCAACGATGACGAACACATTGGGCAAGTCTCATCCATAGCGAGTAATCTGGAATTTAGGTGAATATTACTTCAAAAACCTTTGAGTCTGCCTTGTTTACATAGTGAACTTTGTTGAAGGTACAGTTCATCTTGCAAGTGATGTCCGACCAGTCGTAATGGATTTTCCATTGGACAAGGTGATAGAGGCCGACAGAGCAGCTCCAGAAGTCTCCTTCCCTTTTCGCAATGCAACCTATACTTTGCTCTAGCCAACTTCAAGGCGTTCTATCAGAAGGTGGCTGATTTATTCCTTGAGGTAAATTAATTTTGACATAACTTCATTCTGAAATGCGCCTACTTTTCGCCCCTTAAGGGTCTTCAAGAGCCTTAAAGGCACCTATCACAAAAAAGTTAGGGTACCCTTTTCTGACGGGAATTGATAGAACTACTCTAGAATAAAGCGATAACAACGAAAAAAGCTCAAAAAACGATGAACAAAAAGAATGAAAAAGGGCCAAAAAAAGAGCTGGAAAGGGGTTGGGACGAGTTTCACAGTGAAGGAACGTCGGCTAGAGAGGGCGAACGTCCGTTGCGCGTGTCCGTCGAAAGTAGGTCACTCCGCCCACTTCGCGCGCGGCGCACTCCACTGAGGTCTCGAGATGACATTACAGTATCACCAAGTGTGAGTGGAGCGAACGATTTGCATTTGTCTATGATATCTTCTCTTTGGCTGACTACCGTGGAGAAAGCGCAAATCGTATGCCCCTCTTACAGCTGCGACGTCTGTCAAGTATCGCGGGCTGACCCGCCGCATGCGACGGCTGCGGCGTGACCTAGTTTCGACGGACACGCGCAACGAAGCGCACCCGTTAGAGAGTGTTCGGGCAAGTTGGCAAATTGCCAGGGACGGCAAATTGGCAACTTGCCTGAGACGCAATGTGTTGTCTGCAATAGCATGCAACACATTGCGTCCCTGGCAATTTGCCAATTTGCAATTCAGGGTGGGTCCTGGCGCGATTACATGACACTGTGTCGTCTCGACACTCGTCTAACGTGACACCGATCAAGGGGCGGAGGGCGACCGTGGATATCTGTCCGACCCCTGATTGTGCCCTATTCAGCCGTTTTCCGACCTCATTCCTGCACAAATGGTATCAGAGGGGGCGTCGAATTCAAACTATGTGCAAATGTCCGAAACAATGTTTTTGTTAACAGTGCCTTTA